GATGCTTCCTGACTTGCAAGCCTCTCATTTATCGGATTGAAATTTAACGCCGAATTGGAGGTGACTGACACATACAAGAAAACCTAAGTACTTTGGTCAAAGGTTCGTGTTCGCCCAAACCTCGATCCTTTGGCTCTCCCATCAAGGCTTTTGTTGGCTATGGTAAGTATATCCCATCTCTTCACACCTCGTTAAAACACCCATACGAATCTGCCTAGCCTTTCTTAAATGTTACACTCGTATACTGATAGCATTTGGGTGCGCGCTGTTCACATGGTACTGTGTAGTAGTTTCATCAAGGTTGATGATTTTGTGCATGAGTAGGTGAATAGAAGGGTGGTTGAGTAATCAACACCTCAGTTTGTGCACATACTTACCGAGATATGCACTTGTTCGAGCAAACACACCAGAGCAGACATATAAAATACCACACTCCCTGAAATCAAACTTGAGACTAACTGCTGCTTTTAATCAATTTCATCCCAACTTAAGTTAATGGTTACTGAATGAAGATCTTTACATCAAGTTGGTCAAGTATGCATCAAGTGCTGATTTGTGTTTCAATCACACGTGGGCTGAGGACAGATACTGCTGATTCCTTTGCATTCTCACTACTCGCAGTGCAAGCGCGGTGGCCAGATCTTGCACATCTCACTCACGATCGGTCGTAATGGACCCTTACAAGTGTAAAATATGCTCTGCGACATTCAGTGCCCACAATTTACTCCGAGCGCATGAAAGGCGCAAGCACCGAAGTAGGTGACGCTGCATTTAGCTTACACTTTTCTATTCCCCTGTGTGTATGTACCGCTTACGCGTGCATACATAAGTGCATATGTATAGCGACCTCACGATAGTCAAATAATAGTTGGAGACTGAGCAGATTAACTTGGGTTCTGCTATAATTGACGACTTGGGCAACAAATGGTCAAATCAGGCGACCCATGTTTTTGTTAGTTACTGTATCATTTTACTTTTTCTGCTACCCAACAAGTCTTTCTTACCTAATTTTAAATATATTTGACAAGTTTCAGCAAGCCTGCCCGGCCAATGTCCAGTTTGCTCAGCGTTCCCCGATTCCATAGGAATAACCTTAGTGCATCAAAGGGGTGAGGAGATTTGTAGTATCACCCTATTATCTTTGTCCCATGTCTTCATATTTGCTAAAAGTAACACGAGCAATTTTTTT